GATCTTATAGCTTTTGCCTTTCTTGATGGAAGGAGCTTAAGCCCTTGTTTTAGTTTTGATGTAACTTACATTACATCTTAAGTTGAACTAGATGATGTTCTTCATGAAGATAAACCAAGGTGGCTTAGGAGAAGCTTTGATGGCTTTTTGTTCTTTTTTTATTCATTACTAGCTAGCTCTATCATTTGCTTCTTCCGATCTTCTTCAGCCTTTGTTGTCTTTTTCCAGGGAAACTATTTTGGGAGTGTTTTGACTGTTTATCTTAGTTTCCCCTTCAAGATATGAGATAGAGATAGCTAAGCTGCTTAGCCACATACGGGTTTATTTGCTCATTCCAATTTTCTTGATCCCAGGGCCAGCTTCCTCCCCAACATATTGATCCAGAAGTTTGCTTATTTTTGGCCTGCTCTTTTTCTGTCCAAAAACCATAAAGAAAACGAGACAACTTTCCAATCTTTAGGTGGTTAAGCACCACTCATTTTGGCAGTGGAGTAGTGTCTATTCTTGGACAAGCTCATAGCTTCTGCTCTGACAAATACACAAATTAACTTCAATTCAATGCTATGGGGCCCTAATTTTCTCTATTCTTAACTTTTATGAGTGGTTTGATTTTTCCTTTGGTTTGGAAGAAAGAAGGGATGTGGAAAGCTAATTGTCAAGAAGAATACATGGTTTCCTGGTTGAGTAGTAGAGAGTAGTTTTGTTTCCGAAAGAGAGGACATTTTATTAGATAATTTATCCTTAGGGGGTTTCCTTTTAGTTAGCCAACCACTTCTAATATTAATATAATCATCTTGCTAGGCTTCTAATCTCTCCTGTCTTCTTGCTGTTCCTTCTCTCTTGGTCTCCAAACAAACAGCACAAGAGTAGAAAAAAGGGAGGCTAACTAGAAATGGAACTTCCAAGTCAAGAAGGGGAGATGCCAATTCCTCTGAATAGTACATATGGTGGGGGACATGGTCATACAAGCCATGGGCATGGACACATGATCCATCATGATCCTGTTCCTTCAGCCCACAACCATATGATACCTTCTTCAGCACCCCAGATGCCTTCCAATGGCCCCATATCCTCAAGCCTTGAGGAGCATGTGCCCTTCAAGAAAATGGTCAGATATAGAGAATGCCTCAAGAACCATGCAGCAGCCATGGGTGGAAATGCAACTGATGGTTGTGGTGAGTTCATGCCTAGTGGAGAAGAGGGCACCCTTGAAGCCCTCACCTGTTCAGCTTGCAACTGCCATCGAAACTTCCACAGAAAAGAAGTTGAAGGTGAGCCCTCTTCTTGTGATTGCTTCCATAGCCCACATCCCAACAGGGTTGGAAGGAAAGTTATTGTGGGGCATCATCACAAGAGCCTCTTAGGCCCAGAGAGTTTAGGGTACCCCACAGGAGCTCTCATCGCATCCAGAGCTGCGCCGCCCCATCCCATGATAATGTCCTACAACATGGGGTCTCTCCCATCAGAGTCCGATGAGCAGGATGAAGCTGGTGGTGGCGGGGGTGGAGGTGGGATTGTCAGTGCTAGGCCACCTCATCAGCTGGTGAAGAAGAGGTTCAGGACAAAGTTTACCCCGGAGCAGAAGGAGAAAATGCTCAACTTTGCGGAGAAAGTTGGGTGGAAAATACAGAAGCAAGAAGAAGCTGTGGTGCAACAGTTCTGTCAAGAAGTTGGGGTCAAAAGAAGAGTCCTCAAGGTTTGGATGCACAACAACAAGCACAGTTTGGCCAAGAAGAATAATAATGCTTCCTCCAATAATATTAATCCCCATAATCAAGTTTAAAGAGGAGGTAGCCCAGAAAGAATTCTTTTGACCACACCATCAATCAGTAATTGCAGCATCGGCGGCATATTACTACGTACCAGCGAGTAGCTTAGCCTTCTTTTCAATATTTTTTTCCCCTTTTTTCTTTGGGGTTTTATTGTCCCATTTCTTGGGATATTTTACCCTGCATTTGCCTACTATAATTTAGCTTGATTAACGTCTGAAAAATAACACTGGTGTTTGATTAATGTAGCTCATGGGATTTAATAGCTCTAGAGACTAAGTTGTGACTTGTGGGTGATTTGATTTCTCTATGTGCTTTTAATCCGTTTAGTGTATCGTGGATTACTAATGTCCTAAGTCTGGTCAGTATATTCCAGTACGGATATTCTTGTTTAAAAAAGAACTCCTAAATTAGATTCTTCTTTTGCCTTTTCCTCCTAATCATGCATGCGTACTACACTTTCTCTGCAACCAAATTGCGCAGGTACCTTTAAATGTGAAAATGCATGGCTAACACATGTTGGTTTTAGTTAATTAATTGCCCTTATTTTACATTACAATTATCAATGATCAGTTGAATTATGAAATGGTGCTAATATTGGGGGTTAACAGGCCTATGGCCTATCATATAATCACAAACTTGGAAATTTCTGAGTCTCTTTCTCTCCCTTTAGATTAGAATGAATACAATACAGGAGTTAATTAATTAGAGCTGAGAAGTGCATGGTCCAAAAAGGAAAGAAAAGTAGTTGGACCCAAAAGTAAATTCCTGCCTGCACATTTTTTCATACTGCACTTACAAAATGAAAAGGAAAAATTTTGCATTATTTGTTTGAGATATTATTATTATTATTGCATGGAGTAAAGGAATCCAAGTTAGAGAGCTCACCTCACACACGATGAACAACCTTCACATTGGTGATTAATTATTGGATTACTGAATTTAGACAAGTTTTTTGAAGTTGATTTCTAGCTTGGCGGATATTAATTATTTGTTGGGATCGAGCATCTGTAAGAAAAAAGCAGTAAAAATTTGAAGGACGCAAAACAAGAAGTAGGACGGACGAGAGCTTTTCTTTGTTCTTTTCTTTTTATTAAGGATCCAGGAGATGAGTAAATATAAGTTTACAGTTTTAATATGTAGTGTGAATCCAGCTAGCTTCAGTTTCTTGGTCTGGTTATGGTGGTGTGACACGGGCACCCCAACAAAATCTGAAAACAGTAGTCTTGGCTGTCTAATTAATTACAGGATGATCAGGACAAATGTATAGAGACATTGCTGACATCCTAACACCATATGCATGTCTAGGCACAACACACTACAGCAAAGGTTCCGTCTGTTGTTGCAGCAGCGAGGGCGAGAAGCAAAGGCTGATCCTGATCACGGTGTGATTACTCAGAAAACACACGTTTGGACGTGTAAACAACACCACTATAATTTCTTGTTTTTGTTACATCACCATATACATATACTGTGTGTGTTCGTGTAAAAATATATTTAATTACAGTAACCTTAAAAAACTCCTCAAAATTTTTAAACTATATATACACTTCAAAATACCCAAAAATTTAAATACTTCAAAAAATTTTCCTATAATTTTTACAATAAGTTACAGTAAAATTTTAGATAAACACAAAAAAAAAAAACACATTTGTTTGCCAAATAGGGCTTATGTTAAAGGCAAACCTAACTCCATTGTCCATCCACCGGCTATATGTGTACTACTGTGTTTTTCACGTGCATTGTTCCTCTTTTTTTAAAAAAAAATAAAAAAAAATAATTATGGCAATTATAGTCATAGAAACACATTTAATTCTGTGTCATATAAAGTAAACTGATGTACTGATGATGAAGGAGAATTTTATTGGTCCGATTTTGCTAAACGATTTTTGGAGTATACATTATTCTTTCTGTTCCGCTTAAATCGAATCTGGAATGGAGGGCCGCATATGAGAGGTTCTGGGAATTTTAAATATGGGCCACATCCCACATGGTTAAAACTTGTTCATGCCAAATATGTAACTGACGACTGTTGGGTGTTCGTAACATCATTTATTTTTTTAAAATTAAAAAAAAAATTACGATGGGAAGGATGGGGAAAGGAGAAGGGGAAATGTTGAAATTCCAGAGTGGAACACTACTCCTAAAGCTAAGGAGGCTGATCACAAGTACGGCTAACTAGTAATTTTAAAGGGGAAAGAATGGATTCCAGAGTGGTTCGAGAAAATGAGTGTAAAAAAAGAGTTACTCTTGAAGACAACGGTGCTCTATTTTTGGTCTGGACGAAGGCCGCAAGATTAGCCTTGTTTTCACCCCCAACCAATGCTTCAATCCCATTGAGGACTTAAAGAAATTGGATAGCCCTTCTCCAGACTCCTGACGAGAAATTAATATCCCTCCAGAAACGTAACAGCGAGAAGAAGAGAAATTAACAAGTGGTCTGCGTCAAATTGTTTAATGCTGTTACAGAAATGAATAATGAGATTTCCAGTACCAGTCTACTACGAGGCCATAATTTTGAAAAGCGTTTTTGTTTTGTCTCGAGGTCAACCGTACATTTCTGGTTTCAGCCCAGTGTTCATGGATTTAGCAGGGACGGCTGAGAAGCAGTTATGGCCCACAGCAGCCGAAAACATCCCCAGTGGTTTGAAGATCCAATTACACCAAAACAAGTTATTAGATGATGGAATAATCATAACCTTTATTAATCATTACATTAAACATGAAAATCAATCTCTTACAATTACGCCATTTTGTATTTGTTGCTACAATGGCACATGGTAGGAACCATATTAATCATGGTGAAACCAAATTGATTTGGAACCATACCACCAGGCAGAAGTTATTGGCAGAAACAAGAAGGAAAAAAAAAAAACAAGAAATCGCTGCCCCACAGCTAGTAGTATTACTTCACACATCTGGTTCGGGTCCCCAGTGCCGTAAAGGCAACCCAGTATGTCACAATATTGAAACTTCAAGCAAGAAACAGCCAACCATTGGCTTTTCAGCCCGGTTCCATCCAGGATAACTCAAGAACATACATATTCCTTCCGAATCTGCAGGTGCAAATCGAAGAGCAAACTACGTTTCCCCTTTTCCAGCACTTCTGTCAAGTGTCGAGCACCATACGTTCTCACTTCACACAATAGTCTTAGCAGAATTCACAATCAGCAGCACTTTCAGTGATGCCTTTCCTTGTGGACAAACTCGATCAATACTGTGGTCCTAAACTAGAAATCTAAGTAGATATGGTACAATGACAGCTAGACATTCTGTCCTTCCGCCTTGCAAATAAGTCACATACATTTCATAAAACATATAGTTAATTGTTTTGTCCTACATAATATATATATATATATATACTTACAGATGCAATATCCAAACCAAGTTTCCACTTGTTTAGGTGACTACCAGACCTTAACAAGCAGAATTAAACACACGGTGTTTTGCAACAACTATGGCTACATGAAAGGCATAACTTACGCCAATCATCTGGGAAGAGAAAAGGACTCAAAAAACCCAGCAAAAAGAACCTAGAAACCAAAGGAACAAAATTTCTACTGGACCAAAAAAAACATTTTTTTTTTTTTTGGGCTGGGTGGTTTTTTTTTTATTTTTTGGAGAGAGAAGAGAGAGGGGGGGGGGGGTTGGTTGTCTGGATGGGTCAGAGGGCGGAAAGGGTAAGAAGCAAGCTAACACAAAACTTTTCCTGCAAGAACGCTATCTATCATTGCCATCTCCAGAAAAGCATGAAACTCCCTTTCTACCATAACAACAAAACTGAAGCCATTCTCGAGAACTAGGAGGACCCTGTACATGCTTAGTGCAGCAGTCATATACTGAAGGCAGGGTGGCACGAGAACAATGTTTATCCCCACCATATTTCATTGGCACCATCAACTGACCGCGTGCACTCCCTTTCAAATACAAAACTGCCTGGCTCTTGAAGTTTGAAGCATTTGAGGCAAATTGAGCTCTTTTCCAGATAATCCCATGAATCATGCAGTAAATCTATTTCACCAATTCACAAAGTCGAGCTCTGTCAGGATTAAGAAGTGATTCGGACATCACCCAGCCCTGCGAGAAAGATAAATAATTGGCATCAGGTGTTTCATCATGATCACAGGTAACTCTAAAATGAAGTCATGAATTAATTAGCTCCTATTCACACTCTGACCTAGAACTTCAAAAAGCCAAATTCACAATAAACATCTAAAAGATGTGCACTTCAACTCTTCAATTGAAGCATCACGGGACTATACGGGATTGTTGTGGTTTTTTTCTTGTTTCTTATTTTATGTCCCCCAAGCCATGGTTTATGGCCCTATCACTTGGGAAAAGAAACGAATATGCAAGTTCAGAAAGCATTCTGATACTATTACAGGGTAATACTAATTGGTTTAACCAGCTAAATTGGCACTGAAAAATCAATTATTGATAAGAAATTGAATTTCCTACTTGTTCTTTAGCTTTGCTCTTGAAAGGCCCATATAAAGCTAAGACCATCTTGTAAGATTCTGCAACATGACCTTGAAGACTAGCACTTGACGGCACACTCACTCTTCCTTCAGTTTTGCTTGATGAAGACTGATTCTCGTTATATGAACGAATGATATGCAGAAGCACATGGGCCTGAAATACAAGATGAAGTTAGCTCAAAGCAAGTTATGATGATTTCAGACCATCAACAGAAGAATGGATCAGAAATCTCACATGGAAAGCTGCTTTCAAGATGTCATCAGACTTAGCTTGATCCTTGAGCAATGCATATATGCCACCCTTAGAAGGATTATATGTCACAACGTATCGCTCTCTCTGTCAATTTCCGAAGAAAATTATTCATCATCCCACAAGAGCAAGAACACACGTGGCGCAGAAACATGCGAATACAATAATAGAGCATAATAGTGAGATCACGAACTACTAACTCAAAGCTTTTCAATTAGCTTCTCTAAACTAATGCTTACCTCAAAAATAGGCTCCACAGCAAGGTATGAGTTAGGGTCTTGAAATGCATCTTTAAATCTTGATCCTGCCAGCAGTCATGAGAAGATTGCGTGAAGTCCAAAGATGTGAATATTGCATATCAGGATAAGAACATCAACGAGAAAAGAGATAACCCATTACCAAGAATAATAGGTCTGTTCTTGGACCAAGGAAAATTGAAGATATTTTCCATTCCATTGCCCTCTCGAAGTGTGGGAACTCGCCCTGATTTTCAGTAAAGAACATATATAAATCAAATATATTCCTCAAAACCTTTTCCTATAGATATATTAGAACCAGAGATACCAACTTTATGATGCTTTAAAAACAGCCATGATGACAAGAACGAATTATGCAAATCTCTAATTACAGGATTTATGCCCCGAAAAAATTGATTAAAACAAAAAACGAAGATATCAAACAAATAAATCACAAGGGAGAGATTGCAGGAATATAATCAAGACAGTTTAGCGTTCAGGGTCTCAAGGGCTAAGTAAAATGGGTAAAAAAAAGCCAAGCATGTGAACAACATGATGCTGATCTTACCTGTCTTGAGGAAGGATTCTACTGCCACAGTGAATCTTGCACGATTAAGGGTGTGTAACACCACAGATTTCACCTACAAAATTTTATTATGCACATGTACTGTCAATAAGTGTCATGTAGTGTCATGTATTGACCAAATGAAGCCACTTGGTCAAGATAGAGAGAAGTTTAAAAAGAATTCATTCTGACCTCCTGGTAAGAGCTCATTAAATATCCTAATGAAATGAGGCCAAATGTCGCAACCAAGGATGGATTTCGCTTAGCAATCATGATACTGAGTCCAGTTCCAAGCTTCACCAGCCAAATCATCAACCATAATTAATTTTAACAGCTAACATGTAATACTTGGATTATAAGGGAAATCATGCTTCAATATGAACATCCACCATTAAGATACATTACATTAACCAAAAAATATCCCGACTCATTAATTAGCCTGATCCCCAGAACAGTGATTAACTAAAAAGCCAGCCTAAAGCAAAACAGCTTCAATTCAAGCATTTTCCACAGATTGGCTCCGATCTTATAGTCGAGTTAAAACATACAAGGCCACCATAATTTCATTTTTGAATCCCACTATTCATTGATTACTTTGGGTTTACTTGTTAGTTTACTTGGAAACTAAAGGCAAGAACCCAGATTCTCAAATTCCCACTCTCTTTACCTCACTAAATATCTAAACGCTAATAAAAATGAGTAACTCTCAAGTGTCAAAGATTAAAGCTTTCCCCTATCATATGCTCAATTTAAATCCCAAAAATATAAGCAAGGATTGCAGTTTTTATCCATTCAAAAGAAAAAAACAACCGATGGAAGGAAAAATTGAACTTTTACACTGAAGAAGCAGGATAAGCATACCAGATCAGCTATATTGCCAACACATTCTCCTTTAGCAGTCACATCCCCAATATTTTCACCTTTGGCAAAGGCCTTGTATATTGGAGTACGGGTTGATGTTGATGTGACCGCAGCAACATTCTACAAGAAATAAATTTGGTGAAATAACTAATCTACCTATAGATGGCAATGAGATAAATAGCACATGAGATGATAGTCACTCAATCACCTTAACAACATTTGCAGCACAAGCCATAGGAAGAAAGAGTTGGGGCACAGCTGCAGTTGCCAATTCTACACCCGCTCCTAACTCCATTAGCAGATCACCAGCAAATCTAAGCTGCAAGACATAGTTGTCACAGTCAAAGAATCATTAATACAGCATCGTCCAGTGACAAACGATATTGCAGATATTTAGTTTTCCCACAGAACACCCCCCTTCACCCAATTCTCCAATCCAGCATGAGAAAAGGGTGAAAGGAAGAGCATATTACCTGTTTAAGATCAGAATCAAATTTTTTCCCCTGACGTGCAAAAATCATCTTTCCAACACGACCAGCACCATCCTACAAATAAGGCAAACCAGAGGATCAATAATCTTTAGAGTATCAACTTGGATGAACCTAAAAGGCACTAGATTTAAGATCAGATAAAATACAGGAGGATAAACAATAACAAATAAAAGATAAATCAGCCAAAAAAAATTGTAAACACCATACTGTGCACAATCTAGAACATCCAAAAAGCGCATATCTCACGCTTCGCATAATTTCCAGTTCTCAAGAAATGCAATCCACCAGGTGACTTGAGTATAGATCTCTAAATTCCCTAGTCAATCCAAATTCTAATGACAGGGGATGCAACTGTTTACTTTTCAAACGTTGCTTTACGATGCGTGATACATCATATGTCGAGGTATTTTAGGAGGAAAAACAACAGTAACTTATTTGAAGCAGTTCTATCCACACCTTATATGAGATGGATCATATGCATTGAAGCATATAAACTTGAAGAAACTTTTATCACAAGCTTTTCCATTGGAGTCAAAGTAAGACCTCTTTTAAATCAATTATAGTGTGGGGAAAAGGAATGTAGACCTCACAAATGTATATTATTACTCAAATTAAATGAAGGAGTCATGGATCAAATGGTCATGGAGTATTCATTTCGTAACCTTACAATAGGCTAAGCAAGGCTACAAAAGCAGCTGACAAATGTTTTTTTGGTAATTTCAAGCATCAAGAGAAAACATAGAGAGACTAGCAAAATCCAATTTTAATGACTTAAAAACACCTCCAATAGGTTTATGTTGAGCCGCATCATTTTCAACACGCAAGCAGAATCTTTCTTAAATCATGCTAACATACTAAATACCTTGAGAATCCAGTTGATAGCTACAGCACCGGGGGCTGCCCTGTTTTTAGAAACTCCAACTGAACTCAAGAGAGTTTGTGTCGTGAATACACCCATCGCTCCACCAAAAAAGTGCTACAGTTGACATACATCTTAGTAATTACTTTGCACATAGTAACAGAGTTAAGGTGAAAAAATCACTACCGATGCTAAAAATCACATCCAAGTCAACGTAAATTCCAAAAGACAACCTTCAGAGCTCGCCATGTCATGTACGGCACATACGACGGAGTAACACAATCAGGAAAACCTTCTGGCACAACATACGATCTTATAAATGCCATCAACTCCTGCAGCAAATACAAATTCAAAAGCTCAAAAAAATCAATTCTTTTTTTTCTTCTCCTGTAAAATGATGGGACAAAATGCAATCTTAAACCAATGATTCACATATTTGGTAAAAAAATAAAAAATAAAATAAAAGAAACCATAGCTACTACTGATGTTAAACATATCAAGGTACTAGTCTGGTCACCTCTTTGGATTTGCCAAAAGTTGATCGTGCAGTTTTGCAAACTCAGGTTCCGGTTAATAAATACCCAATTTGCAAGGGAAAAGCAAAAGAGAAATTTAATTTGTGGAATGGTACATTGGGAAAGACAAAAACTTACTTGGCCAGGAGCCTGACGAGAATGCAAGCTAACAGCACGAATGGAATTCTTCCTAAATTGCTTGGAGTTATCGAGGTCAGCAAAGTACTCCCACCGGCGACCATCGATCTCCTCGCGGCATATCAACCTCAGGCTAGAATTGAGAAACTGCTCCTCGACAAGTCCGAAGGTGGCGACATTTCCATCGGCGGCAGCGGAAATAGGCGGAGGAGGAAGAGCAGGACGAGGCGCGGAGGCGAGGTTGGCGCTGATTCGAAGCGTCTCACGAACGAGGAGCCTGGCGTCCTGAGACGACGTCGTTGCTGACAAGGTTTTGGAAGTCGAGTTGGACGGATGCTTGAGCTTCATCTCTGCTCTAGAGAGAAAACAAATAAAATAAAATCACAGAATTTGAAAAGGGGAATGGAAAAATGGGAATTGGCGATGGGGATATAATATATATATATATATATATATATATATATATATATACACGTATTGGGGGGGGGGGGGGGAGCTTTGGAATTGACGAAGGAAATTACAGGCGGCTAGGGGTGGAGGGAGGGAATCATTACGTTAACGGAGGTTAAGAGGAAGAGAGAGAAGCTCTCTCTCACTTTCTGTCTCTCTCTCTCTCCTTCTCTATGGACTCTGGCAATGAGAGGGAGAGAGGGAGCCACAGAAAGGGGGGGTGGCGGTGGCGACTGGCGAGGGGGATCTGTGAAGTGGAGGGTGAAGATGAGTGGGGTCCAGGCGGGAGTAGTCCAGTTGGAACTGCAATCTAAGGAACAGGACACGTGGGACGGAGAAGGGTAATTTTGGGATGTGGGGAAGTGCGGTTCACTGGAGATTTGTCAGCTCAGCTTCTGCTGGGATCAGCTTGCAATTTTGGGTTTACGTATCTTTCCGTCGGGCTTTTTCCTTTTCGTTTTCTTAATTAACCGACAGGACATTAGGGTGACATTAAATTTATTTGATTTACACCTATAATCAATTGGGACCATTGGTGATGATTGTAACTTGTAACTAATTTTTCTCTACCAAGTTTCTTAATTGTGGCGTAATTCTTTCCAAATTCTTCAATGTCAAATTCAAAGTTCAAATCATGTGAGTGACAGTTGAGGGATGAAAATGATGTAAGGAGGAATTGAAGGGTATTTTGAGAGAAAAAATAAAAAGGTTCTTAAACTTGTTTAATTACTACTTGAGTAGATCGAAGATTTACAATCCTTTATAATTGGTTACTACCCGAATAGGTTGGAGTTTGCCGCACACGTGACTGACTCCATTAAAAACTTTAGATTTTCCATTATAGATCATAAATTGATTTTTTAAATAAAGATAAGGGACTAAGATGGTCGTATAGTGATAAATAAGTGACTAAATTGTCTAAAACCTCAAAGATAGTGGACTAAAATGGCCATTTTTCCTTTTTTTAAAATATGATGCATCTATAAATCCTTCATATTTGTTATTTTTGTGGCATGTTTGATGATATACTTTCTACAATTAGTGCAAATCCTCTCGTGAATGAAAATGATGATTTCTATTAAGAAAATAAATCACTGATCGCGTTAAAGCTTTTTGCATGGGATTGTAATAGACTAAACGTAACGGGTCATATTACAAAATAGACGTTTATTTGGTGTAAAGGTTATGTTGATGATGGGGTGGTGCAATCCGATGGAATTTGAGTCGAGCATTTCCTTGCCAAGGTCGAACTTGCAAATAGCTCCGTTAATCAAATTATTCATGATAGAAATTCGGCTCAAATTTGATAATCAAAAAATAACCGAAGTTGTTTTGGACTTTTGTCCAAGCCAAATTCAATCTACTCTTGATTTTTAGTCAAGTTGATTGAATCGAGTGTCGCGTAAGATTCATCTTTCTTCAACAAATTTCTAGACCCTTGTCTTTCGTGTTGGCAACCACATCGGTTGCATGAGAGTCGCTGTTAACAAGCACCATCACCATGTGTCTAGGTTTAAACGTGAAATTAAAAAATGTGGGAATCGTGTCTGTCTGGACGGTTTAAAAATTAAAGGTAGCGAGGAGGATGACCGGTTTTGTGATTGGTCTTGCCGTCCATCTCCATCATCCCTCCTCAATTTCCATTATGCAATAGCAGGCTCCGGCTTGCTCTATAAAGCATAGTTGTTGACCCAACTCAAGAAGACCAAATCGCTAATTGCCCAAAGTGCAAGGAAGACTTTATCCAAGTAGGAGTGTAGGACCGAGGCAGTCGTGCATAAGTACATTTGTATAGTATGATGGTTCATCCCCAATTCCTTTACGACTCCCCTTGGAGTGGACTCTCGCTCTCCTATAGTTTAGATTATAATAAGAATAGAATAAATTATTACTATTGTAAAAGAAAAAATATATATAATTAGGACTGCTATCGAGTCGAATCGAATTTCAATAGTGCATGACCCCAGTAAAAATACTAGAGTTCGAGTTCAAATTCGATTAAACTTATCTTATTTTATCTTATTTGAACTCAAGTTCAAACTCGATCAAATCAAACTCAATCGAGTTTTTAAGTTTGGTTTTTTAATAAATTTTATAATTTTATGATAAATACTTTAAAATTATGTTATAATTAAACAACTCAACAAGGTTTGACATAGTACTTGAGTTTCATTTTTTTTTATTCTACTTGAATTTGACTCGATTAGCTCATCAAGTGTTTCGAACTCGATCAATATCGAGTTCGAATCGAACCTTTGATCGAACTATTCATATGTCTGGGTTCATTAGCTTGGTTAATTTACACTTTAAAATAAGACAATGTGAAATTTTCCAAGCGTACAAGAATAGACAATGTGAAAATTTCTCTGTCTCAATATCCATGTTTTTAGGACCTTATTTAGCTAGCATGGACATTAGTTAAAGGGCAAAAAACCTCAGCGGCCATTAAACTATTGGTCAGATCATGTTTTGACCATCAAACTATTTTTCGTCAATAATTGACCACCAAACAACTTAATCAGTAAACACGTGACCATTTGATCGATAATTGCTATTAATATGTGAAATTAACACCACACGTGGCAAAGCACAGGGGCAATTTTGTCCACCAACTACGCAGGAGCTGCCACAAACGCCTTAATTAAGCCCAATCTCCATATTACTGCAATTTCACCTTAGGATTGGAAGAAAGAAAAGAGAAAAGGAAAAACATAACATGGAGACGCCATCTGAAGGCAGCAGCAAGGACTCCATGACTGCCGTCAAACAGGTCCGACAGCAGCTAGAATCCTGTGTGGAGGCCTTACACAATGCTCAGCTACACCTCATCGCCTCTCTCCAAAACTTAGTCCCTGACCTCGTCTCCTCTCGCAACCTCTCTCTCAAAGCTATCTCTTCCTTCAACTCCCTTCCCTTTTCTCCCCTTCCCAACCCTAACAACCTCAACCTTCCAAATTGTCCCCTCGCATTCCAACTCTCTCTCAGGTCCCTAACTCCGACGCCGACAAGTTTCTCATCGATGACGCCGTTGGGCCCTTTTCCCTTGTCAGGTCCATGGTCGCTATTTGCTTGCTCGAGAGGGTGCCCTTTACCACAATTGATTCCTCCACAGTTTTGAGAAAGCTCGAGAATGATCAGTTCACCATGCCCGCCGAGCAGGCTACGCTCAGGGACCCCGGAGGTGAGTCTGGGGCCATTTTGGTCGTGGAGATGGCCTTGTGCTCCACGGTTGAGGAGAATGGGGGAGTTGTGACCTGGAGGAGTTTGTGGTCAGTGGCAACTCCACGGTTTTGAGGAGTTTGTAGCTGCGGGGGCAACACATAGTTGCTGGACAAAATTGCCCCTTACTTTGCCACGTGTAGTGCTAATTTCATATATTAATAGCAATTATCGATCGAATGGCCGCGTGTTTACTGATTAAGTTGTTTGGTGGTCAATTATTGACGAAAAATAATTTGATGGCCAAAACATGATCTGACCAATAGTTTAATGGCCGCTGATGTTTTTTGCCCTTAGTTAAATTATCATAGAGATTCTTTAAAAAATGTTGAGATTTTATCTGACAAAGTCGTGAATGTTTAAATAGAAAGACCAAATCGAACCGTTGCTGTCAAGAAATCCCAAGAAAAAGCATATGCAAAATAGAGGGGGAACCGGACTAAGTTGGTCGCTGGCAGTTGAGATACCAGACAGAAAATAACCTTGGATTTATGCACCTCGACTTTAATACAAATGTTACGGAGCGTAGAATTTAGAAGGTTCAAACTTCAAGCCGTATATTTGGTTGAGTAGCCAACCTTAAGAATCAAAGTGCCATTTTCATGCTGCGTTGGCCTCTTGCCTCCGTCTCACCCGGTCTGCTAAAAATCCCTTTCTCGCTTTCATATTATCTTTTTCTTCCCGACAGCTACGTCCAAATATCCTTTATATTATTGTATTTGCTAGGTTTGCATTTTATTACGTTTCCGTTGTCAGCTAGGGATGCAAGTCATCGAACATAAGTCGTTTCCATTAGATTTAATCATCCTAGCATTTGTCTTGGTGAAATCGCAATGCACCTAACCATGTGCGACAATTATGCATTGCCGAATAACAATTGGCGTTTGGTACTGAGACGATGCTGTAATTTGTCCATAAACGATATAAGAAGAAAAATAGGTTTGAGTGAGTTCAGTTCCGATCATCACTACCGGTTAAAATATATTCCTGAGATAATGGATTGCTTATTGGGATCGTCCATCAATACTGTCCTCACATCAGTAGTATGATTCGAGCATGGATTTTTTTTTTTGGCATAAAAAAAAGGAGAAGGAAAAAATATTAAGTGTTCTAAAAAACCTACAAGTTAGGTTTTCTTTAATTAAGTTTTTTTAAGATATCCATTGCATAAAAAATGTCCTAGTTTGCCTCAACAAATGTGGTCAATGTATGTTTTTCATTTATACTTTTACCATGTCATAAGTTAAATAAAATAAGCAAATGAATAAGAAATAGTAACGCTCTGTGTGCTTGGTAAAACCCCTTAAGCTTTAAAAAAAAAAAAATTTAAAAAACGGCAGGCTTTTTGTTTTGAAATTGGTTTTCAACTAATTGTAGTTGACATCTTTGTGCAAAAGTGAAGCAGAACCCAGATTCGAATTTGAAAAGAAATATTCTTATGTCTTTGAAACTGTATTATACAGTGGCAACTGAATCATGGTTATCAAATTTTAAGTTTGCAGCAGTTGTACAAGTTTGAGATGACAAAAGAGTCAATTTCAGTTAATAAGTAATAGGCTAATACCCCCCGCAGGTAGCTCGGATGGTTCGCTCCCCCTCTTTAAAGTATGGCAATCTACCTGACTTCGGTCAAGATTTGAGTCTAGTTGTTGACTTGTTCGGTGTGGAGTGGGGCCTCCTCTCCCGGACCGCAGTAAGGATTAATCGGGGCCCTATAAGGATCGACCCGAATACCTCCTGTATTGACAAAAAAAAAAAAAAAGTAATAGGCTAATAGGAATATCAAAATATAGAGGCACAAAACTGAAATTTCTAACAAGTTCCTTTTTCCTGACCTCAACCCTTAGCACGCCTGACCTTCAACTGTTGTAATTTCAGGCATTGGATAAAGCCATTTTACTTTTAATTGGGCTGTTGAATGACGGATGGATCAGAGCAGGCCCACTGTCACAACTAGGACGATGCAATTAGCTTTCTTCTGCTTTTTGGCAACAAAAGCACATTCTATGAAGACTATGATCATGGATTACGAGTTTCTTGA